CTGAGTGAGTTTAGTACTGCTACAATGTTTCCTGAGTGAGTTTAGTACTGCTACAATGTTTCCTGAGTGAGTTTAGTACTGCTACAATGTTCCTGGAACACTTCTGTATGAAGGAACACTCCCGTATTGTGTTACCAGATAGAACTACAATGTTCCTGGAACACTTCTGTATGAAGGAACACTCCCGTATTATGTTAGCAGATAGAACAACAATGTTCCTGGAACACTTCTGTATAAGGAACACTCCCGTATTATGTTAGCAGATAGAACAACAATGTTCCTGGAACACTTCTGTATGAAGGAACACTCCCGTATTGTGTTAGCAGATAGAACAACAATGTTCCTGGAACACTTCTGTATAAAGGAACACTCCCGTATTATGTTAGCAGATAGAACAACAATGTTCCTGGAACACTTCTGTATAAAGGAACACTCCCGTATTGTGTTAGCAGATAGAACTACAATGTTTCTGGAACACTTCTATATAAAGGAACACTCCCGTATTTTGTTAGCAGATAGAACAACAATGTTCCTGGAACACTTCTGTATAAAGGAACACTCCCGTATTGTGTTAGCAGATAGAACTACAATGTTTCTGGAACACTTCTGTTTAAAGGAACACTCCCGTATTATGTTGGCAGATAGAACTACGATGTTCCTGGAACACTTCTGTATAAAGGAACACTCCCGTATTGTGTTAGCAGATAGAACTACAATGTTCCTGGAACATTCTGTATAAAGGAACACTCCCGTATTGTGTTAGCAGATAGAACTACAATGTTTCTGGAACACTTCTGTATAAAGGAACACTCCCGTATTATGTTGGCAGATAGAACTACAATGTTCCTGGAACACTTCTGTATAAAGGAACACTCCCGTATTGTGCTAGCAGATAGAACAACAATGTTCCTGGAACATTCTGTGTAAAGGAACACTCCTGTATTATGTTAGCAGATAGAACTACAATGTTCCTGGAACACTTCTGTATAAAGGAACACTCCCGCATTATGTTAGCAGATAGAACTACAATGTTCCTGGAACACTTCTGTTTAAAGGAACACTCCCGTATTGTGTTACCAGATAGAACAACAATGTTCCTGGAACACTTCTGTATAAAGGAACACTCCCGTATTGTGTTAGCAGATAGAACAACAATGTTCCTGGAACATTCTGTATAAAGGAACACTCCCATATTATGTTAGCAGATAGAACTACAATGTTCCTGGAACACTTCTGTATAAAGGAACACTCCCGTATTATGTTGGCAGATAAAACTACAATATTCCTGGAACTATATAAAGTAACACACTTGTATTAAGTTAGCAGATAGAACTACAATGTTCCTGGAACACTACTATATAAAGTAACACACTTGTATTAAGTTAGCAGAGAGAACTACAATGTTCCTGGAACACTACTATATAAAGTAACACACCTGTATTAAGTTAGCAGATAGAACTACAATGTTCCTGGAACACTACTATATAAAGTAACACACCTGTAATAAGTTAGCAGATAGAACTACAATGTTCCTGGAACACTACTATATAAAGTAACACACCTGTAATAAGTTAGCAGAGAGAACTGCAATGTTCCTGGAACACTTCTGTATAAAGGAACACTCCCGTATTGTGTTAGCAGATAGAACAACAATGTTCCTGGAACATTCTGTATAAAGGAACACTCCCGTATTATGTTAGCAGATAGAACTACAATGTTCCTGGAACACTTCTTTATAAAGGAACACTCCCGTATTATGTTAGCAGATAGAACTACAATGTTCCTGGAGCACTTCTGTATAAAGGAACACTCCCGTATTATGTTGGCAGATAGAACTACAATAATCCTGGAACTATGTAAAGTAACACACTTGTATTAAGTTAGCAGATAGAACTACAATGTTCCTGGAACACTACTATATAAAGTAACACACTTGTATTAAGTTAGCAGAGAAAACTACAATGTTCCTGGAACACTACTATATAAAGTAACACACCTGTATTAAGTTAGCAGAGAGAACTACAATGTTCCTGGAACACTACTATATAAAGTAACACACTTGAATTAAGTTAGAAGATAGAACTACAATGTTCCTGGAACACTACTGTATAAAGTAACACACCTGTAATAAGTTAGCAGATAGAACTACAATGTTCCTGGAACACTACTATATAAAGTAACACACCTGTAATAAGTTAGCAGAGAGAACTACAATGTTCCTGGAACACTGTTATATAAAGTAACACACTTGTATTAAGTTAGCAGATACAAGAGCAGAAAAGAGATTAATTGAACACTTGGTGTTGGTTGAACAGATACATCACAGTGGGTGACAATTATGATGATGGTACTGAGCAAGATGTTCAACACTATCAGCTTCTTGATGGTGTACATACAATGTTCTGAGATCTATCCAACAACTCACCGTTCCTGTGGTACTGGTCTGTCATCTCTCATCTCCTCTATATTTGGTACCGCTACGCCCTACATTGCCTACTCAGTAAGTAAATACCCATGTGGCAACCCAAAACTAAGTGTTGTTCTCAAGAATCTGTCTTGTGCATGGACTTCTGTTTTAGTCCTGGCTTCCTAGCTACCTGAATCATCTCAAATGTTCCACAAATTATTAATGTCATACTCAATAAAATTATAATCAAACTTTTTTTAAACAACCACCAGGTTTACAAAAAATTACCATTTTAAATACCAAAATTAGTTTATTCTCAATTGGGGGCAGATCGTCACCAAAAACTTATAAATTTTTTTTTTTAACATCTTTGGAGAAAAAGAATTTAAAATTTAAAAAAGTAATGTATGAGATTTAGTGGAAAATTATTGGTGGGAAGCGGGCCCGTGAATGTTGCAGCAAGGAAAGGCTGGAGGCAGTAGAGATGTTGAGGCAATTGGGGTAAAAAATATTAGGCAGAGAATTAGTACTTTAGAAATTAGGAGTCTGATCAAGGGTTTTTTTAAGGGGTTTATATTTTTTAGAGGGATAGAACAAAATGATGATTTAAGGAGTAAAAATCCAAATGGAATTTAAAACAGGGTAAAGATCGTTCTAAAAAATGATGGAGGGAGAATTAGGGTTTTTCTTGGTGCGAGGGGAATTACACACCGCAGGAAATGGGGCGAGAGTGTCTTGGGAGTTAGTAGGGGCAACGGTTTTTTATGACTTACATGTTTTTGGGGTGTCATCAAGGTAATATTTAAAAAAAATTTCAAAAAAACCGGTTAGCCAGACCGGGGGGAAGTACATGTCTGCATTCTAAAGGGGTGGAGTGGTGGGGGGAAAAAACAGAAAACCTGCTTCTGAAGGAGTGGGGGTTTGGAAGTAAAAGTACCCGCATTCTGAATTTTGGTGGTGGTAGAAGTACAGCACCCGCATTCTAAAAGGAGGGGTGGGGGGGAAGTCCCTCCCCCTGCATTCTAAAGGGAGGAGGAGAGGGGGAAAATTTTACAGTACCTGAATTCTGAAGGAGTGGGGTGGGAAGACGTCCCCTGCATTCAAAAGGAAAGGTGGGGGTTGGGGGAATGGGGGGGGGGGCGTGCCCTGCATTCAAAAGAAAGGGGTGGGGGTGAGAAGTACAGTGCCGCATTCAAAAGGGGAGGGGGGGTGGGGGGGAAAGTACAGGTCTGAAATTCTAAAGGGAAAGGGGTGGTGGTGGGGAATACAGTCCCCGGGCACTCGGGAAGGGGGGGGGTTTGGTGGGAAGTACAGTGTCTGCATTCGAAGGAGGGGGTGGTGGGAGAAGTACAGTGTCGCATTCTAAAAAAAATGGGTTTTGGTGGGAAGAAACAGTGTCTCATTTGAAGGAGGGGGGGTGGGGGGGAAGTACATTTGTCTGCATTTGAAGGAGAGGGGTGGTGGAAAGTACAGTGTCTGCATTCTGAAGGAAGTGGTGGGGGGAAAGTAAAAGTGTCTCTTTCTGAGGGGGGGGTGGGGTGGAAAGTACAGTGTTCCCAATTCTGAAAGAGGGGTGGGGGGTGGGAAGTACAGTGCTGCATTCTAAAGGGAGGGGTGGTGGGGGGAAATTTCCCAGTGCCCTGCATTTTTAAAAGGGGGGGGGTGTGGGAATTTACAGTGCCTGCTTTTCTAAAGGGAAAGGGGTGGGGGTTTTTTGGGAAGTACAGTGTTTTGCATTCTAAAGGGAGAGGTGGGGGTGGAAGTAAATTTGCTGCATTTAAAGAAGGGGTTTTTTGGGGGGGAATTTACAGTGTCTGCATTCTAAAGGGGGGGTGGGGGTTTGGAAGTAAAGTGTCTGCATTCTGAAGGGGGGGTGGTGGGGGAAAAAGTCATTTCTGAAATTCTGAAGGAGAGGTGGTGGGGGAAAAGTAAAGTTTGAAATTCTGAAGGAGGGGTGGTGGGGGGAAAAGACAGTGTCTGCATTCTAAAGGGGGGGTTTGGGGGTTTGGGAAGTCCCGTGCCCCTCATTTTGAAGGGGGAGGGGGTGGTGGGAAAGGGTAAAAGTGCCCTGCTTTCCCTAAAGGAGGGTTTGGGTGGTGGGAAGTTACATTGTCTGCATTTTTGAAGGGAGGTGGTGGTGGGAAAGTACAGTGTCTTCTTTCTGAAGGGGGGGGGTGGTGGTAAAAAGTCAGTTTCGCATTCTGAAAGAGGGGGGGGTGGGGGGAAATTTACAGTGTCTGCATTCTGAAGGAGGGGTGGTGGGGGGAAAGTACAGTGTTTCTTTCAAAGGGGAGGGGTGGTGGTGGGAAGTACAGTGTCTGCTTCTAAAGGGGAGGGTGGTGGGGGAAGTACATTTTCCCGAAACTGAAAGGGGGGGGGTTTGGGGGGAAGTACAGTGCCCGGGCATTCTGAAGGGGGGGGTTGGTGGTGGAAAGTACAGTGTCTGCATTCTAAAGGGAAAAGGGGTGGTGGGGGGAAAAGTTACAGTGTCTGCTTTTCGAAGGAGGGGTTGGTGGGGGGGGAAAGTACATTTGCCCTCCATTCTAAAAGGGGGGGTGGTGGGGGGGAATTTAAGTGTCTGCATTCTGAAGGGGGGGGTGGTGGTGGGAATTTCAGTGTCGGCATTCTGAAGGAGGGGGGGGTGGGGGGGGAAGTACAGTGCCTGCATTTTTTGGAAGGGGGGGTTGGTGGGGGGAAAGAAACGTGCCCGCATTCTAAGGAGAGGTGGGGGGTTTAGAAGTACAGTGTCTGCATTCTAAAAAAATTGGGGGGTTGGGGGGGAAGTACAGTGCTGCATTCTGAAGGAGAGGTGGTGGTGGAAAGAAACAGTGTCTGCATTCTGAAGGAGGGGTGGGGGTGGGAAGTCCCAAGTGCCTTCTTCTTAAAGGGGAGGGGGGTGGGGGGAAAGTAAGTGTTGCTTTCCTGAAGGAGGGGTGGTGGTGGGAAGTACAGTGCCTGCTTTCCCTAAAGGGGGGGGTTGGTGGTGGGAAGTAAAAGTTCTGCTTTCTGAAGGGGGGGTGGTGGTGGGAATTTACAGGGTCGGGCATTCTGAAGGAGGGGGGGGGGTTTTAATTTACAGTGTTGCATTCTGAAGGAGGGGGTGGTGGGGGGAAAGCCCAAAGAAGGGGGGTGGGGGTAAAAAAAGGGTACAGTGTCTCCCATTCTGAAGGAGGGGTGGTGGTGGAAGTACAGTGTCGCATTCTGAAGGGGGGGGGTGGGGGTGGGAATACGTGCCTGCATTCTGAAAGGAGGGGGTGGGGGGGGAAGTACAGTGCCTGCATTCTGAAGGGGGGGGGTGGGGGTTTGGGAAAGAAACGTGTCTAAAAATTCTAAAGGGGAGGGGTGGTGGTGGGAAGAAACATTGTCTCATTTTTAAAGGGGGGGTGGTGGGGGGAAGAAAATTTTCCCTGCATTCTGAAGGAGGGGGGGTGGGGGGAAGTACAGGGCCTGCATTCTGAAGGAGGGGTGGGGGTGGGAAGTACATGGCCTGCATTCTGAAGGAGGGGTGGTGGTGGGAAGTACAGGGGGTCTGCTTTCCCAAAAAAGGGAAGGGGGGTTGGGGGGAAAAAGTACAGGGTCGCATTTTTAAAAAAAAGGGGGGGTGGGGGGAAATTACAGTGTCGGGCATTCTGAAGGAGGGGTGGTGGGGGGGAAAGAAACAGTGCGCTTTCTAAAGGGAGGGGGGTGGGGGGAAAATTTCATGTCTCCCATTTGAAGGGGGGTGGGGGGGGAAAAGGGACAGTGTCTGAAATTCTGAAGGGGGGGTTGGGGTTTGGGGGAAAAACAGGGGTCTGATTTTTGAAGGGGGGGTTGGTGGGGGGAAGTAAAAGTGTCTGCATTTGAAGGAGGGGGGTGGTGGGAAGTACAGTGCCTCATTCGAAGGAGGGGTGGTGGGGGGAAAGGGTACATGCCTGCATTCTGAAGGGGGGGTGGTGGTGGGAAGTACAGTGTCTGCATTCTAAAGGGGGGGGGTGGTGGTGGAAGTACAGTGCTGCATTAAAAAGGGAAAGGGGGGTTTGGGGGGAAAGTACAGGTCTGCATTCTGAGGAGGGGGTGGGGGGAAAGACAGTGCCCTGCATTCTGAAGGAGGGGTGGTGGTGGAAAGTACAGTGCCCTGCATTCTGAAGGAGGGTGGTGGTGGGGAAGTCGTTTTCTGCATTCTAAAGGGAGGGGTGGTGGTGGGAAGTACGGGGTCTGCTTTTTGAAGGGGGGGGTTGGTGGGGGGGAAGTACAGGGGCCTGCATTCTAAGGAGGGTGGTGGGGGGAAGAAAACAGGGGCCTGCTTTCTAAAGGGGAGGGGTGGTGGGGGGAAGTACAGTGCCTGCATTCTGAAGGAGAGGGGGGTGGTGGGAAGTACGTTCTGCTTTTAAAAAGGGAAGGGGGGTTTGGTGGAAGTCCCGTTTTGGCATTCTAAGGGAAGGGTGGTGGGGGGAAAGTACGGGTTCTGAAATCTGAAGGGGGGGGTTTGGTGGGGGAAAAGAAACGGGTGTCTGCATTCTGAAGGTGGGGTGGTGGGGGGAAGTACAGTGTCTGCATTCTAAAGGAGGGGTGGGGGGGGAAAGACAGTGTCTGCATTTGAAGGGGGGGTGGTGGGGGGAAAGTACAGTGTTTTTCCCAATTTTTAAAAGGGGAGGGGTGGTGGGGGGAAGAAAACGTGTCGGGCTTTCTAAAGGGGGGTGGGGGTGGAATTTCATTGCCTCCCTTTCCCTGAAGGGGGGTGGGGGGGGAATACAGTGCGGGCTTTTGAAGGGGGTGGGGGTTTAAAAAAAAGTCCATTGTCTGCTTTAAAGATTTGGGTTAAAAAAATTTTTTTTAAAAAAAGGGGGTTTTTGGGGGGAAAATTTCATGTTGCTTTCTGAAGGGATTTTTGGTGGGGGGGAAAGAAAACAGTGTCGCATTTTTCCTAAAGGGAAAAGGGGGTGGTGGTGGGAATTCAGTGCTGTTTTTGAAGGAAGGTGGTGGGGGGAAAGTACAGTGTCTGCTTCTGAAGGAGAGGTGGGGGTGGAAAGTACAGTGTCCCCTTTCTGAAGGGGGGGTGGTGGTGGGAAGTACAGTGTCTGCATTCTGAAGGAGGGGTGGTGGTGGGAAGTACA